AAAAACAACAAAAGGCAAAAATTAGAATGTGAAATGTTAAACTTCTGATCGCAAAGAGCTGTAATCAACCGTTAAACATATCCAGTTTCCTTAAGCAGACGTTTTAAAATAGGAAAACGTCTCGCTTTTGACATATAAAAGGACATTCCTGAAAGCTGCAGTACCAAGACTTAAAACACCAGCAGCCCGTGACTCTCCCATTCTACTGTCATGTCACTCTGCTGTACGTTGTTTACTGTATTTTATAACAAGAAATTAAAGCAGAAGGGTATGAGACACTATAAAGAAAACACGCTCTACTGCAGACCATTTGCAAGCCAGAGGGCCAGCTAGTAATTCCAGGTCACACGAGAGGAAAACATTAATTCCTAAGACGCAACGGGATTCACTGCGATTCAGCATCGGCTCTGTGAATGGGGGCCAACGTCCGTCCCCGCCGCCACCTCACAGACCTGCGACACCAGCCACCCCCCTTCCCAGCTCCCTCCCAAGCCACACATCCTGCAAAAAAGCTTCCCAAAAGGATGCGTGCAATACCGGGTGGAAAGGGAGGGCAGGATGGGGCGACACCATTTCTGCACGTGCTCTTTAGCTTTAGAAAAGGTGGCAACACTGAAAACGCCCCTTTGCAGGCACCTTCTACCACCACTGGCAACCTGCCTGCCCTGAAACTTCAGTCCCCATCCTGGGAGGACACAGCAAGAGCCCATGAACCAGGCACTAAAGCATTTGCCAAGGGCTCGAAACACAAGAGCAGGCTGCAAACTCGGCTTTCCTCCGGTTTCTGAGGCGCATTCCGGCTCTTTGCAGCTCTGGACAGAATCCTGGAACTGCAATTCAAGCAAAGCAGAAAGCCCAGCGTGGTCCAGACCGAACCACCGCATCCTTCCCAGGGCCACCTCCACCCAGAGCCCTTCTGCTTTCCAGGAGCCAGCTACCACATCCCATGGGAAGCCCTGAAGCCCCAGGGAGAGGCGGAAAGAAGGCGCTGTGGCCAGCTAAGCAAACACACTCCCTGCTAACAAGGGGACTCCCTCCTATTGCACCAGCTTCCCGGGGAAAGGAAAAGAGCTCCTGGCATCTCCTCTGACTCATCCTCGTCCTTCTTTGTGCAGGTGCAAAGCCTCACATCTTCTACAAGAAATGACCCACCTAAGGCTTAATTTGCAGTTAAGAGTGATGTGAAATCAGCACAGGGCACAAAGAAACTCCCAAGCCCAGGAGCAGGCGCAATTCCAGCCCCAGAAAGAACGTTTTGTTGTTGCGGATGTCGTTCATCTCAACTGCTATACTGAAATCCCTGTTATCCTCCCATCCTGGAGTCTCACATGTCTGGCAGATGTAACTGCCCGAGGAATCCTTATAGAAATTCCTCAGTTGAGTTTGCTGGAGGGGACCAAGGAGGATTTTACTACATGCACAGATCTGCAGTGACCATAACTCCCACTATAGCTTTCAAGTGAGCTGTTGAGAATATTAAGCCTAAATATTTCATCAGAGATACGAATGGGGAGGCTCCGTTAAGTCAAGGAGTAAAAGTCATTTCGGAGCAAGGCGCAGGGGAAGCCTCGTCCAGCCCAACGCCTTACGTGTGACCAGGGACAAGGCTTCCAGCATCATGATTTAGCAACACAAAACAAGGACGGTCATAAGACCGCCGCAGATGAGGAGCAAGAGAATGAAATGAAGAACAAAAATGCATCTCTGCAAGCCGGTGCGTCAGCAGTTTCAAGTTCCAATTTTGAAGTATTCACAACCGGGTTGCCTGAGCTTTCCTCCCAAGCGGCGGCCGCTCGGCCTGCAGATGGACGAGCAACAACTGATATTTAGGGGCAGAGGGGGAATTAAACCCAAAAGGGCCTCAAAAAGAGCACGTGGGGGCTATCTGCAACCCCACGAAGCGTTTCATGGCTGGGAGGAAAGGAGGCTCTGGTTTTGGCGTGTATTAAAAACACGGCCTTGCTGCAAAGAGCAAGGCGGTTACCGGGGCTATTTTGCTCCCGCTTGGGGCCAGAACCGGGGCTATCCCGCTCCCGTTCGGGGCCAGAACCGGGGCTATTTTGCTCCCGCTTGGGGCCAGAACCGGGGCTATTTCGCTCCCGTTCGGGGCCAGAACCGGGGCTAT